CTACGTCGAGATTTTTTGCTTCTCTTTTATTTTATTAGCCTACTTATAGGCGTTTGACTGCCTATTTTCTAACACGCGCGACTATTCATTCATTTTCACACGCTCCGCTCTTATGCATATGAGTATCTTTATTCACATACATATGTACATATCTCCAAGCGACATACATTTTATGTTAATCCATTTTTGTGCGCAGAGAATTTAGTTATACCAAATATTTGCGTGTGTCTGTGTAGATTTTTTAGTTTTTTTTTTGGCTATCCGCGCGTAAATTGCACATTAATGAGAGATATTATCTAACTACAATTAATTAGGTTAAACGCTTCGAAAGCCATACAACTGTTCGACTGTTGTTGAACATAGGCGAAGCCTCAAAATGCTCGTATCGCGTTAATTTTTGTGCTTTTTTCTGCTTCCACACACATTCGCGTCACGGTCGTTTTTGTTATTTTTTTTTTGTTTTTGCTCTTCTTCCAACTTTTCCGACGTCTTTTTTCACATTTGTCCTGATTCTTTCTTATTCGTGGTATCGTTTTCGCCTTATCGCCGACGCGTTATTTGCCGCGAATGCAACAGCGCCGTTCCACGCTTCAAAACCGACTAAACAGATGTGAGCCATCGCTGAACGATGCCAGCGAGGACGTGTACGACAACAGGATAAGAGTCAGTCGTAAAGGCATTTCCCGAAATCTACAAATGTACCAATTTGAGTACGTACACATGTATGTGTGTGTGTGTGTGTGTGTGTGTGTGTGTGTGTGTGTGTGTGACGATGTGACTGCACTTCTCGATATTTAACAAACGAATCATAGAAGCGTGAAAGCACAATGGACTGTTAACTCATGAAAGCTCAGTGCGCGCCGACTAGAGACGATACAAAAACAAAAACATATACAATTTATGTTGAGTACGCAAACAAAAAAAAAAACAAAGCTTCAAGCGTATAAAGTAGCAAACCGATGACAAACGACAACGGAGACGACGAATAGATATGTAACGGGTACAGCGAAAAGTAAAGGAGCCAAAGAGCGATAGCGAGAGAGCGTGAGAGCGTGAGAAATAGAGAGATTGGTTGCACTCAAACAAATTGACGCACTATGATTTTAATTAGAAAGCCTTGTTGTGGCAGGTTGCAATGTTTTTGTGATTTTTTTTTTTTTTTGTAAATAAACAAACGCGTATGGTGCGAAGGAAGGCAAAAACAAGCGCAGCGCTTATAAAATGCGCGAAATTACAAAAGTGATTCAAAATAAGCGCTTCGAAAGAGAAAAAGCGGAAGAGCGATAGAGAGTAAACGTGCGCGCCTTTTTTTCAATTGAGAGTGAGTGCGTAAAGCTTCTTCCGGTAATAGGAATTTCAGACGGCTGTTGCTTTAGCATAAAATTGTTGGGATAGGCAGGAAATATGTTTAATGGGCGCATACTAGCATGTGGTTAACAAGGCCTTGACAGCAAGTGATTAAACTTTAAAATGTTTTTTGTTTTATCACATGAGAAATGAGAAGGCTTAATTTGATTAACATAAACATCATATCTAATTTCATACAAAATGCGTGGGAAAAGTGTGCGTAAGCTTGGCAATCACAAGGCTTTCGTTGAATCAGATTGACTAAACAAATTTGCAATTTCAGTATGAACAGAGATTTAAACCCTAATATTCCTTAGGTTAATGTGTTTGCCTTATAAAAAGCAATCACTTGGACTAGACATGGGACTAAATATTCAGTCCCGATCCCGCCCATCCCGAAATTTTTAAATGCAGAAACCGCCCATACCGACGTTTTCACGAATTTTACCTCGGGTCACATGGATCCCGAAATCTATCACTCAGAAAAATTCAAATGTATTTCAAATTAATTCTAAATCATGAAAAAAGAAAGATCTGGCATTTTCCGATTATTTTGTTTTGCTTTGCTCTTTTCGTATCAATAAAACATGAAAAAGTGCATATTTCATACAACGTTTTTATGGAAAATTTTCTGAATTTACGAAGGTTGCGATTTTATCCGGAGTGTCGGGAAAGGATTTTGGTCCCGTCGCGCCCGCAAAATTTGTACAGACCTTCCCGGTACCGCCCATCCCAGACATTTTGAAATCAGTACCGTGGGTCCCGCGGGTCCCGACATCCCGCACCCGTCTCTAACTTGGACCATAAAAGGTCAATTGTTTGGGATATCACTCTTTATTGAAAGGATTACTGTTAATCTATGGCGAAAAACGCTGCGTGTCCAGGACGAAGTTTTGTAGGCAGCAATCGTTCGTTCCAAATATATGGCCTTTCAAAATGTACAATTTAAGGTTTTTATTACACAGGCCTACGAAATTTTACCTTTTCCGCATTACAATAATGATGTAATTTTCTTACATAGTATGTAGGTATGTTAAATTAAAATAAAATTTGTTATGGATATTGCCATCGTTTTTGGAAATGCTTACCAAATTCGTTATAGATTTGTTTATTAATTGAAAATGATAAAAATAAATGCATAGTCTTTGTGAACGTACAACATAGTAAGTATTTTATATTTGTATGTTTTTTTACCAACACCGAATTACTCTGACCATTTCTCTTTGCATCACACAGTAAGTTTACAGCTGTTAAATGCTTAACGTGCATTACAATGTTAATATCGGAGAAAAGTTTTGCCTACCATCCTACCTTACCAAAACCCCCACGATGAAAATGCAAAACTCTTGCATACATATGTACATACATACATGCATATGTATTAAACCGCCAGCCATGAACCTTTCAGAACAAAATAGCGTCCAAAGTCCCTTACTTATGTATTTATTACAATAGAATGCCTTTGAAACCGACGAGGCGACGGTCGTACTTAAAACCGTTTTCTAATTTACTCGTATTCATTAACACTCCCGCAGGAGAGCTTTAGAGCTTTCACACATTTTAAGCATGCGCAGTGCGAGCACACGCTCACTGTTTCATTTTACCTATGTACTTTCATACACTCTCGCACGGTGTCTCGTCCTTTTGTTTCCCTTTCTATGTTTTTTCACATTCTCTCCCACTCTCTTTCTCTCGCTCTCCTCTCTTTTACAAAAGCTTTCACATTTCCCCCGCGCTCAAGGAATTCCAAAATAGTGGTAAATTTTTTTAATTCAAATTTTATATTGCATGTTTTTGTACTTAACATTCTTCAAGTGGGTTAACTTTGCATGGTTGTACTTACATACATACATACATATGTATATATGTACGTGTACGTATGTATATGTAGGTTTTAATTTATGTAAGTAAATAACGTCGAGTGGATCCCTCGCGGTCTTCAAATACTGGTAAATAATCATTTCACACCATTCAAAAAGTGTTGCAATGCTGCTGCCACCACTTCTGCCACCTTTCGCTGGTTAGCTGGCTGCTGGCTGGCTGGCTGCTGCTGGATAGCATTTTTACAGTGGTAAGCAAAGTTTTATTTTTTTTTTTGATGGGTGGCAGCTGAGGCCAATGTTACAGTTTCAATTAATTAAAGCCATGTTTTTTTTATATATTCCTTTTTTTTTTTTGTTCCTCATTCTCCGCGGCTGTGCACCACTCGTTGTACTACTCGTACACCGCTCGCATAGTCGCGCAGCACGGGCAAAACAATGGGTACCTAAACAACGCCCAATGCACGGCTAAGGGCAAGGATATGAGGGTCGGTTAGGGCTTGGCTGCGGCATTGTAGCCCTGTGTTGCTATTGCTGATGTAACTCGTGATGCTGCTGCTGTTGCTTTTGCTGGTATTTGGTGACACTTCGTCAAAGAAAAGTTTTGTTTTGCCCCCTTTTCTAGGGAAATAATTAGTTATGTGTGTTAAGGTAATTTATGTTGTTCTGCGAAGTGGCTTATTAATTCTTACAATAATTATTGTGTTAGGAAACTTTTTGACTTTTTGAGTTGTTCATTTAATTAGAATGTTTTAAATGAAGGAATTCTGTAGAAGATTGTTGGAAGTGCTAAAGAAAGGAGTTATATCAAAGCTAATAATTAAACGGATAAAGTTTAAGGGGATTAATCACCGCAAGTGCTCTGGGACGCATGCATCATTAGCGCTTTTTGACAAGGCTTAATGGAACACACCTACACACAAATGCACATTAGAGTGACCCTTAATTTTTTAACGATGAACAAAGAAGTCCAATTTCTCGGTATCCTATTCTTCGTTTATAGCACTACAACGGTTGTACATCGAACTACTCGGAAGAACCCTACACCTTTTGACGGAGTTGCTCAACGCCATTTTTAGCGATCGTGTTAGTTTCACAGGTATACCAAAGGCAGCTTCTCAGCAGCTCGGCTGGTAGGCCGACAGCTCCATTAGCTTTGTTGTTTTACAGCTCCGAAATCGCGATTCTTACCTAGTCATTTACGGGCGGTGGGATCTCGGCCGGAAATAAATCTCGTTTTTGGACAAGCTCTGGTCATGTTTTCTTTCTTCCCCCTAACGCCCCACAAGGAAAACTATCGAGGTGCAGAACGCAAAGGTCACGCTCGCTCGTCGAGTCGAATTACTAATCATAATTCATACACAGTCCATAATATAAAACGTAAGTAGTGGTAGAAGATGTAAAAAGCGCTTCCGTAAGTAGCCTAGTTTAGGTTACGTTAGAGTGCCTGCCACCGCGTGTTTGCAGGAGGTTAGAGGTATGCCATATGAAGAATTAAGTTCAAAAATTTCTGTCCGCCTCCTTGCCAGCTCGTCGGCTAAGTAGTTGCCAGGAAGTTCCCGGTGTGAAGGAATCCATCCAACAATCAAGGAGCATCTTCCTGGCAGCAGGCAGAGCTGTAAAACTGTGAAATCATTTGAAATTAAAAATCATCAATT